CATCATCCTCTCCCCGGTTGGGCTTACGTTTGTGAGACAATTTGTGCTTGGGCTTGTCTCTGTGTTCTTTGAGACTGGCTCTGAAGCTGTGGGGGTTGCCAGCAGCGATGTAGGCAAAGGGCGCTTTCTGCCGGGGTAGGCGAAAGACCCCTCGTACTCACAGACTCCTCTGAGCCCCGATGTGGACGAGGGCCAGGAGCTCGAAAATCAGATGTAGTCGGCACCACAGCAGATAACTTCGCTGCTGGGATTTGAGCCGCTGAGAGAGCCTTCTCCCATAGAAAAACCTTCAGGCGCGCAGCCCTGTCAGCTCTCGCTTTTGAGGTAAATTTTTTACAGATCAAACATGAACCCATATTGTGTCCTTCACCCAGACAGACAATACACAAGTCATGGTCGTCTGTCTGTGTCATTTTGGTGGGACATTGGGCACATTTCTTGAATAAAGACATTCTGACAGGAATTGTACTGTAAAGATTAGCTAGGGAACTTCCAAGCGGCGGCAAGGAAAGAACTGAGGGTGTGTGTGTGGAGCTTTCCCCTTTATAGCGCCTCATTGGAGGGAAGCGCTCTCATTCGCGCACAGGGGAAGCTCCTCCCACTAGTTGTCAAGCTAGAAAAAATCTTCCGCGGCAGGCCTGCGCGTGCGCAGATCCCATGTGGGACTGCACAGGGCAACGCAGATGAACAGACCCCCTCTGCCGCACATGCGCCTTCGGCACGAACCCGTGGCCCATTCCGCCCGAGCGCCAGAGCCTCGGACGCGAACGGAAGGACGAGCGGAAGGCGCCTGCCTCGGCGCCCATTATTCGAAACCGCGTGGGCGGTGACTTCCGCCTTCGTCACAAGCAACTCCCTTGACACCTGCAAGGGGAGGGCGGGCTCCCGTGGGGCTTCGATCCTAAGCATGTTGGTATTATGGAAATTTTAAAAAAACAAAAACATACTGGGCTCTTTTTGTAGCAGGAACCAATGCTCCCTCTAAGCTGTGGAGTCTTGCGAGCAAAAATTCTACTTTGTGAGCTACTGGCATTAAAGCTGTGAGCAAGTGATTTGTGGCTCCAGTGGTTAAGACGCTGAACTGCAGGCTGTGGAAGGTCAGTAGTTCAGCAGTTCGAGACCCGGGTGCCGCAAGACAGGGTGAGCTCCTGTCTCTAGTTCCAGCTCCTGCCAACCTAGCAATTCGAAAGCAAGAAATTGCAAGTAGATAAATAGGGACCACTTCGGTGGGAAGGTAACAGCGTCCCGTGCGCCTTGGTGTTTAGTCATGCCGGCCACATGACCACGGAAACGTCTTCGGACAGCGCTGGCTCTTCGGCTTGGAAACGGAGATGAGCACCGCAACCCTAGAGTCGGATTCGACTGGCTTTCGAGCAAGGGAACCTTTACCTTTTAACTTAGTTTGCTCTGGAGCCCTCCTTCCTGAGCGAAGGCGAAAATGTGTGAGCCAGAGGCTAAAAAAACTGTGAGCTAGCTCACGCTAACTCAGTTTAGCGGGAACACTGGCAGGAACTCCTTTGCATATTAGGCGACACGCCCCTAATGTAGCCGATCCTCCAAGAGCTGACAGTAGCCCCTGTAAGAAGAGCTCTGTAAGCTCTTGGAGGACTGGCTACATTAGGGGAGTGTTGCCTGATATGCAAGGGAGTTCCTGCTACAAAAAGAGCCCTACAAAAAAACAACAACATTGCACTAGGCTTTCAGATCCAAACCCTCTGGCTCAAGTGGTTTTGGGGGGAAAGTTTCTTCCCTAAAAGCTGCCATTTAACAACCAACTTTCTTCCACACAGGAAAGCTGGTTTTACTCTCCAACCCCACCCCACCCGCACTGCTGCCTCTCAAAGGGGGGGGGGGGAGGAATCTGTCATCGGAACGGCCGGCTCTTGGCCCGAATCTTTCGCAATACGTAACAACTCTCCGACCTCCTGGTAAGGAACTCTATACGATTTCAGGCTGCTTTTGGGCAACTGGCGGCTCTTCCACCCCCACCCCCTTCCCTCTTTGGCTAGCGCTGTACATTTGGAAAACCTCCCTGATGCTGATGTGTTGGTCGGCTGAGTACACGCGGCGCAAACTGCAGACAACCCAAACATCCCACCCACCCCCGAAAGAGTTTATATGAAAAAGAAGCACTAACTCAAAACCGGGATTTCAATGCGTCATCATCAGCGGCTGGGATCCACAAATGGGTTCACTCGGAAATTTTGTGAATCTGGTACTAAAACTGGTTTCAATCCAGAGTCCGGTCCGCCTGGTGAACCGGTTTGACTCCAACGTCTGTTTTTCGTTTGACACTGTGGGGAAGCCTACAAGGGTAATCAATCGAAGCGAAGCTGCCCAAGCGCTCTGCTTTCTGATCGGGGAAACGACGTGAAAATTGGCCGTCGGGCAGGAGGAGAGAGCCCCATCTGAAAATTTATCAGGAATTCTTTGCATAGATTTTTTTCTTTTCCCCTGACCAGACTGATGGCAGGGCATACGATATCCCATCAGGTAAAGCCATTAACTAGAAGTTTAGAACTACGATCCTTTTCATCTCTTTTTAAAGTGCTGCTGTCTGCGATCGGGCGGGGCTGGGGGGACTGCACGTGTTGTCTGAGCCCTCAAATCACAACAGATTGGGGGGGGGGGGGGATAAAAAAACAAAAATCAGCCACTTTTGAGCCGTTCTGTCTCAACAGAAGAGACTTGCTTGATTCCGCCGTCGAAATAAACGCGCTTAAATACACGCTAGCATTAGGTTGCGCACGGGACGGTTGCGAGGGGGGCACCTCCTATACGTGTCCCTCGATTCGGCTCCTCTGCGGGCTTTGAATTTATTGACGCGTAAGGCAGAAATGCCAAAACGAAGGAAATGGGGATTGATTTTGAGAACAGAGTACTACGTGTGTGTACACATACATTTATATATACATATTTTAAAAGCATCCAGTAGATTGGATCACTCTCTTTAATTTTTTAAAATCTTTTTTACAAACATAGCAAACGGAAATAAAACAGAAATAATGCGCAAATGCGATTTCTCCAGCGAGACAGTCCACCGGCGGACCCTTTCAAACGAAAAAAAAAAAACCAAAACACACACACACCAGTACTACTTACATATCTAAGAAAGAAAATAGCCCCTTCAAACGACCCCACAAATGGTTCGATATTTAGTGAAGGATCCACAGCGACATAGATTACGATTCTTTAAAACAAAAAAACCCCAGTCTTGCTTCGTATCTTTTGAGACATATCTTTTTTTTTACAAAAGAAAGATCTCGAAATAAAAGCCTGAGACACAGAAAGTTGACCCCCCTGTTCAGAAAACAATCAAATCGAACGGAAAGCAAATCGACATACATGATCTCATATGAGCGCTAGCCTTCAAAACATCTCCCGGCCGTGCATAGCTGCGTGTATTCATTCTGCACATTATTCAAGAAGGGGGGGACGGGGGACGACACACACCAACAGCAGCCCTTTTACACGAATCAAAACGCTGCCAGAACCAACGTCAAGGGTGGTATCCAGAGCGGTGTTCCCTCTAAGCTGAGCGAGTGTGAGCCAGCTCACAGTTTTTTAAGCCTCCGGCTCACACCTTTTGGTCTCCGCTCAGGAAGGGAGGGCTCCGGGGCAAAACTAATTTATGCAGCAGCCAAGTCACCTGCTCACAACTTGAACGCCAGCAGCTCACAAAGGAGAATTTTTTGCTCGCAAGACCCCACAGCTTAGAGGGGACATCCCGGAGAGCTCGCTCACGCCGAGCGGCCAGCGGAGCTCTCTCCCAGTCCCTCCCGCCCCCGCTGCTGCGTCTTCTCCGCCTGCCGTCTGACATTTGCAAAACTGCCCGGCCGCTTTTGCCGCGCCGGGGTCTCGAACCGCTGCCCAATCGGGAAAGGGCGGCTCTCTTCCCCCTCCCCTCCCCACCCCCCCGAGAGACCCCAACCACTGGCTCAGCGGGGCCAAGGCGATAGGCCGGCAGGTGGAGAAGAGGTGGCCGCGGACGAGTGCCCACCCTCCCCTCCAGAATAAATAGAGCCCACGAGGCGCGCGAGGTGGATGGCACCGGGGAAGGGGGGCAGGCATCTCTCCCCCATGGCAGGCGGGACTGGGGGAAGCGGGACGGTGCAGCCGCCGCCCCCGGGGCTGTGAATGAAGAAGCCCTTCGGCCGCCGGCGCTGCTGACTTCTGCCGGAGGGGAAAGCCCAACTGCCGCGCGGCGGGGGAGCCCTTCGGCCGCCCCCATGGACGCGCTGGGCCACATGGAGATCCCCGAGGGCTCCCTCTGCTCCCTCTCGGCCGCCGACGACTTCTACGACGACCCCTGCTTCAACACCAGCGACATGCACTTCTTCGAGGACCTGGACCCGCGGCTGGTGCACGTGGGGGGCCTGCTGAAGGCCGGCGACGAGCACGGCCACCACCACCACCACGAGGACGAGCACGTCCGGGCGCCCAGCGGGCACCACCAGGCCGGCCGCTGCCTCCTCTGGGCCTGCAAGGCCTGCAAGCGGAAGACCACCAACGCCGACCGCCGCAAGGCCGCCACCATGCGGGAGCGGCGGCGGCTGAGCAAGGTCAACGAGGCCTTCGAGACGCTCAAGCGCTGCACCTCCGCCAACCCCAACCAGCGCCTGCCCAAGGTGGAGATCCTGCGCAACGCCATCCGCTACATCGAGAGCCTCCAGGCCCTGCTGCGGGAGCAAGAGGACGGCTACTACCCCGCGCTGGAGCACTACAGCGGCGACTCCGACGCCTCCAGCCCCCGCTCCAATTGCTCCGACGGCATGGTGAGTCTGGGGAGAGGGGGGCGCAAGCGGACTCGGGCTGGTCCTGGGGAAAGGGGGGACTCTCTCTCTCCCTCCCCGCCCCCCTTCTACCTTTTCCAAGCCTAGATTGGCTATCTTGTCTCTAGCCGGGCTTCTGTAAAGTAAAGGTAAAGGTTTCCCTTGCTCGAAAGCCAGTCGGATCCGACTCTAGGGTTGCGGTGCTCATCTCCGTTTCCAAGCCGAAGAGCCAGCGCTGTCCGAAGACGTTTCCGTGGCCATGTGGCCGGCATGACTAAACACCAAGGCGCACGGGACGCTGTTAGCCGGGCTTCTGTACCTAGTCCGTAAGGGACAGAAAGTCAAGTTTTCCTGGGTCTCCGTGCTAGAGAAGTACATCCGCTTCTGCCAGCCGTGCACCGTGTTAAAAGAAGGGCAACTGTCATACCCAGGGTGGTGTTTTCCTTGCTATTTGGTCCCTGCAAGGAGAGTGGGAGGTGAAACCTGAATTTCGGCCTCAGGACCCTAAGGAATGGACCCCTTGAGGTGTGCCAGATGCTCTTCTCTCACCTCTGAGAAACTGAAATCCTCAGCTGGATTTGAGAACCAGGCTCTCCAAAGTTGTAGTTTCTTAGTAGGCTTGAGTTCCTGTTGTTTTTTTAAACACCTTTAGCAGTGCAATTCAGTGAGTTTACCTAGGTGTAACTCTGTTTAAGAGCTGCGGTGGCTCAAGTGGTTAAGACACTGAACTGCAGGCTGGGGAAGGTCAGTAGTTCAGTAGTTCGAGACCCGGGTGCCGCAAGATGGAGTGAGCTCCCACCTCTAGTTCCAGCTCCTGCCAACCTAGCAGTTCGAAAGCAAGAAACTGCAAGTAGATAAATAGGGACCACTTCAGTGGGAAGGCAACAGCGTTCCGTGCACCTTGGTGTTTTTAGTCATGCTAGCCACATGACCACAGAAATGTCTTCGGACAGCGCTGGCTCTTCGGCTTTGAAACGGCGATGAGCACCGCAACCAATGTTCCCTCTAAGCTGTGGAGTCTTGTGAGCAAAAATTCTGCTTTGTGAGTTACTGGCTTTAAAGCTGTGAGTGAGAGATGTGGCTCCTGCATAAATCAGTTTGCTCTGGAGCCCTCCTTCCTGAGCTGAGACAAAAATCTGTGAGCTGGAGGCTAAAAAATTGTGAGCTAGCTCACACTAACTCAGCTTAGAGGGAACACTGAGTCCGCAACCCTAGAGTCGGATTCGACTGGCTTTCGAGCAAGGGAACCTTTACCATTACCTAACTTAGTTTAGGGTTGTGCTGTAAATCTGCAGTCCTGTACAATCCATTGAACATAGCGGGGCTTGATTTATGTGAATACACATACAATTATACTTCGAGGAGATTGTGGCACTAGGAGGAAAGGATAGGGGGAAGGATAACGTTCTTCTTAAACCAAGGAGAACAGGGACTGCTTCTCTCTGTCACCTGAGTCCTCGGACTGTAATTCTGTTCTCCCCACACACACACACCCAGAAGGAGTCCCCCCCCCCAGCCTGATGAAAAGGAAGGCTTTTTGGTGCTCTGAGTTCGAGAAAAGAGATTCCCTACTCTCCATTCCTCCGGTGCTGTCCCAAGACATGCGAAGAGGAGTTGTTAATCCCCTGTGAGATCTAATTTGCTACAGAAGGGAATGTACTCGCATTAGTCTGTCATTCTCCTCCTCCACAGCAACATCTTGAACAAAGATGGATTTTTGTTCGAGACAGTGGAGGATAGTTAATATTACATCCTGATCTCATCTCTTCCGTCCATTATAGGAATAGAAGCGGTCCAAAATGGATATTATATCAGTGCATGGCTGAAAAGTACAACCCTGCGTAGGGGGAACATAAAATATTTTGGTACTAAAGCAGTGCGGAACAGGTGTTCTATAGTAATATCTTTGGGACTATAAGAACTGGAGGATTATTATTTTTTTAGCTGATTGCCCTAGCTAGCAGTGAAATACAAAACAGCGAGTACTGTGCTTGTAGCTGGGAAAGCATTGCCACAAACGGTGCATGTGTTGGCTGGAGTGGAGAAAGCCAGAGATGGATGGTGGTACATAAGCATGTGTATGAAAGAAAGATGGGTGGGGCAGAAAGAGATGGACAGGAAGGAAGGTATAGGAGAGTAAGTGAGAATTGAGTCTGTTCCTTGGGGAAGTTTTGTGTGTGGTGGACCTCTACCGTCATGTCGGCTGTGGACCAATGCTCCCTCTAAGCTGTGGAGTCTTGTGAGCAAAAATCCTATTTTGTGAGCTACTGGCATTAAAGTTGTGAGTGAGAGATTGGGCTGCTGCATAAAATTGGTTTGCTATGGAGCCCTCCTTCCTGAGCTAAGACAAAAACATGTGAGCTGGAGGCTAAAAAAACTGTGAGCTAGCTCACACTAACTCAGCTTAGAGGGAACATTGCTGTGGACCCCTAGTTTAATTCTCTTAGCATTCCTTCTCTTGATGAAGGCTTGGGAGTACATTGCCAGACTTCTTGTGAGCAATGCTCCCTCTAAGCTGTGGAGTCTTGTGAGCAAAAATCCTATTTTGTGAGCTACTGGCATTAAAGTTGTGGGCGAGCGATTTGGCTACTGCATGAATTAGTTTGCTCTGGAGCCATCCTTCCTGAGCTAAGGCAGAAATGTGTGAGCCGGAGGCTAAAAAACAGCGAGCTAGCTCACACCAACTCAACTGAGAGGGAACACTGCTTGTGACGGACAAGTGCAATAAAAAAGCAAATGCGCTGCAGTTGCCGAAGAGTCTTCAGTTGAGAAAGAAAATATTTAAGGGTAGAAAAGTGAGGGGTATTGTGCCAGAATATCAGCAAATAGGCTAAAGGATCAAAAAACCTTTCAGGGGACTTGCAATATTGATTGTTACGCTGGGCTTTCCTGCAGCACAGTGTGTGAATTGACACGTACGTGGAATTCAATACCCATGCACACTCGCCTAGTTGGCCTGATCTTATGACTTGTATTGTTGGGTTTTGTTTCCAGCTGGATTACAGTGGACCTCCTTGCAGCTCTCGCAGAAGGAATAGCTATGATAGCAGTTACTATACAGAAACACTAAGTGGTATGTATCTGACTTGAGAGAAATAACATTTAAAGTTGAGATATTTGCAACACAGAGGGCACATGCACATGTGTGCTTTGCGCTTGAGTTACTCATCCTTGGATATTTGGAACCTTCTCTTTCATACGAGCCATGGTTGCTATTTTATATTACAAGTTTTGCGCTCACAATTGCAGGAGGGTGGAACCACTTGAAAATCCCAACACCCCTCCCCCCAATCTTGTCCAGGCTTTTATAAGTTCCCAGGGGCTTGAGTAGCTTGATTTCCATTGCCCTTTCCCCGTTATCTGATTCTCAGCTGCTCCCCAGCATTCTGGTTCTTCTGAAGTATTTTTTAGCCCTCGTCAGGTTGGGTTTTTTAAACATTTGTTTTAATCGGTCAATTTATAAAGTCTTCCAACTGTGTAGAAACTTTCCTGGAGAGTCCCATCTCAAGCAGGACTTTGGAGAAGTGGCATAAATATCTCCTTAATAAATAAATATGTAGAAACTGCTACTTTATTTATTTATTTAAAACCTTTTTTGTGCCACATTTCGACTCACCTTGCCAGACAGTGGCCTAGTTTAGTGAGTGACCATCACTCTCTGCGATTTAGCTTATCACTGTATAGTAGCAGTATTAGTGTTTTAACATATGAGTTTTCTCCGGAGCTGTACCTGATATTTCTTTTATTGTAAATAACGATCAAAACATTAAGTAAACAATCTTGGATTTAAATTTGAAAGTGATGTGGCCTGTGACTACTCTCCAGGTCTTTTAGTACCTTAAGCCTTGGCCTTAAGTTTCCTGGAGTTGTCATCAGGCCTGGAGAAAAATGTCTCTTTAATAGAGATCTCGTTGTGGAAATGGGCTGCTGAATGTTTCCATGGCATGGAGGTCGCTTACGTCACCTGATAAATAACATCCTGCTAAGCCTTTCGAAAGCAAGAAATTGCAAGTAGATAAATAGGTACCAGTTCGGTGGGAAGGTAACAGCGTTCCGTGCTCCTTGGTGTTTAGTCATGCCGGCCACATGACCACGGAAACGTCTTCGGACAGTGCTGGCTCTTCTGCTTTGAAACGGAGATGAGCACCGCAACCCTAGAGTTGGATTCGACTGGCTTTCGAGCAAGGGAAACCTTTACCTTTACCTTTTAAGCCTTTATTAAAGCAACAGGACATCTTTTTCTCCAGGCGTCTGGCAGCCCTAAAGTTTCTGTTGAATCATTTGTGAGAACCGCATTTAGGTGTCAGTTTGTGTGTGAACTTTTTGGGGTCCTGTGGGGGAAAAAACCTGCTTCTCCTTGGTATCGCTTCTCAGATTCACTGATCTCCTTGTCCTTAGATGCAAAGCAAGGGAAGAGTTCGGTTGTTTCCAGCCTAGATTGCTTATCAAGCATTGTGGAGAGGATTTCTACGGACACCTGTCCCACCCTACCCCCAGTTGAAAGTGGAACCGAGGGGAGCCTTTGTTCACTCCAAGAAGGGGCCAGCCTGAGCAACACTGGAGCCCAAATCCCTTCCCCGACTACCTGTCCTCAGCTCTCTCAGGACACTACCAGCAACAGTGCCAACAATCCAATTTACCAAGTGCTATAAAGCCGCAGTAGACAACTATTGTGACGTTGGCTCAGAGGCAGCCACCAAATCAACTGAAACCTGCCTTTGAAGGACTGGGGAAGAAAAAGACAATGCCGTGTTCTTTTAACCACTTTTAAAAATGTATCTAATAATTCCTAATTTCAAGCTTGTATTACTTTTAAATACACTTATTTATTGGTTATAAACGAAAGCTATTTAATTTGTATAGAAGGCAACAGTACATGTACCATGAAATGGCCAATGTTTAATCTGTGCTTTGAAAAAAAAAAGGGGGGGAACCTTATTCTTGAGGGTCAACCTGAGATCCTTTGGAAATAAAGTTAAATACAGTCCCGCACACACTTTAGCCGTTTCAATTCTATTGACTTC